AATTAAGGCCTGTATATCAAAGCAATGGCCAACCTTACTCTCAATGGGGAGACCTGAACGTATTCACTAGGTACAGGTGCCAGACAAGGATGCCCTTTATCACCACTCCTATTCAATACTGTATTGGAAGTCCTTGCCAGAGCAATAAGGCAAGAAAGGGGAATAAAAGACATCCACATTGGCAAAGAGGAAGTAAAGTTACCTCTATTTGAGGACAATATGATCTCATATACAGAAAATCCCAAAGACTCTGCAAGAAAAGTACTGGAACTAATCAGTAAGTTTTAGCAAAGTGGCAGGGTACATGATTTATAACCAAAAATCAGTCAGACTACTTATACTACTGAAGAGAACCCTGAAAAGAAATCAGGAAAGCCCTATCACTTACAATAACCACCCAAAAGATGAAGTACTTGGGAATAAATGTAGCCAGAGACAGAAAAGACCTAAAAAAAAATACCCTACAAAGCACTATTAAAGGAATCATAATGACCTACATGAATGGAAAACTATATCAGGGTCACGGATAGGAAGATTTAACACGGTGAAATCGTCAATACTACCACAGCAATGTACAGATACAATGCTATCGCCATCCAGAGTCCATCATCTTTCTTTAAACAGACAGAAAAACTAACCGCCAACTTCATATGGAAAAGAGAGACCTCAGATAAGTAAAGCACAACTAAAGAAGGAGGCCTGCCACTCCCTGCTCCCAAAACCTGCTATACAGCCAAGGTAGTTAAAAAGAGCCTGGTTCTGGTCCAGGAAGAAAAACCCAGCCCAGCGCAACAAAACGGAGAGCCCAGAAGTAAATACATCCACCTACAGGCAGCTGCTCTTTGACAAAGGGCCCAAACTCATTAAGGGGGAAGAGACAATCTCTTTAACAATTGGTGCTAAAACAGGACCCATATTTCATACTGCTTGAACAACTTCTCTCAGAAAGATCAGCACAAGGCTGGTCCCCATGAGGCAGAGGTTAAAGATGTCCCAAATGTCCAAACTACCACTCCACTCCGTCATTTCACACATTAACTCCTCCTCCTTCTCCCAGTAATTTCCCCCATCTTAGGGTTCTGTATTTCGCTGGAACGCCTCACAGAAACCCAAGGGTTCGTCTCATGTAGTGGTGGTGGAGGCTGCCAGGCTGGTGAGTTCCAGGTCCCTGAGTAGGTCTGGAGGATCCTCCCAATTCTCGGGGTTTGATGAACCTCGATCAGCAGACGGCTGCTGTCCCAAATCCAGGAGTGAGATGAGGATGAGCCAAGACACAAAACCGGAGCAAGAGGAGGGCGAATATTCCCAGGAGATTCGTAGGTATACCCTCAGGGAAGCTAAGGGTGGTGATTTGAATTATACCCTCCAGCAAGGCAAGGCTCAAGATACATTCCACCTGTGTTGCCCAACAGAAACAACCTAAGTGGATGGCTTTAACAATCAGCAGCTCAAGGCAAATCCCATCACAGAGCCGACTGCCAGTCATTATAGGGAACCACTACTACCAGCTACCTAGCCAAGTTGATACCTGAGTTTAACTACCACACCACCCCAAACAGCATGGATAATAGGATTTACAATACATCACAGAATAGTACAATACATCACAGAGGACAATGACTAGAAGGGCCACATCAAGCAATTCACAGCACATACCAAATACAAATCAAACTCAAGTTGGATCAAAGATCTGAACACAAAACCTAAAATCATAAAGACCATCAATTAAAAAATAGGGATAAATTTAGGAATCCTAATGTAAGACAAAAATAAACTATCAAATGTAATTAAAAATGCACAAATACCAGAAGACAAAACAGATGGCTGGGGTCTCCTAAAAATTAGACACTTATGCACATCAAAAATTCTACCAAAAGAGGAAAAGGAGAACCCACAGACTGGGAAAATATCTTTGGCAATGACATATTGGACAAGGGGCTAATCTCCAAAATTTACAAAAAACTTCAACTACTTAACAAAAGACATAAAATCCAATTAAAAAATGGGCAGAGGACACGAACAGACACTTCACCAAAAGCAAACACATGAAACGCCCATGATCATTAGCCATTAGAGATGCAAGTCAAAACCATGAGCTATCATCTCACCACAGCACTAACTGCAAACCTCAAAGAAACAGAAAACAGCAAGTGCTGGCGAGGGTGTGGAGAGACTGGACCCCTCATACACTGCTGGGGGGACTGTAAAATGGGACAACCACTGTGGGAAATGGTGTGGCACTTCACTAAAAAGCTGGAAACAGAAATACCATATGACCCAGCAAGCCTACTACCAGGTATATACCCTAGAGATGTAAGAGCCACGCCATGAACAGACAGATGCACACCCATGTTCATCGCAGCACTATTCACAATAGCAAAGGGATGGAAGCACCCTAAGTGTCCGTCCACGGAGGAATGGGTCGACTCATGCAGTGGACTGCTCCACAACATTACAGAACCACGATGAACCTGAGAGACAGCTCACAATGTGAACTGACAGGCCATGATGTTCAGGGCAGCCAGCCAATCACAGAAGCACAAACACTGCATGTGATCACTGCTGCCAACCGTCAAGAAAGAGCCTCACAGAAAAAGAAATACCCCCTGATAGTGTCTGGGGCAGGTGGGGAAAGAGGGCCAAACACTTAAAACAGCAGCTTCTTCAATGACTGCAGCAGATGTGATGGCACAGAGCTTGGGAAACTGCTAACCCGATGCCGAGACGCAGGCCTGACGGTAAGGGACACAGAAAAGCACTTGACGCTGTGAGGTGGGCGTGACAGCACGGGACACGGGAAACCACTAACTGGACGCCAGGCGGCCAGTGTGAACGGACCCTGATTCACCTACATCCAAGTGGTGTTCGATCCTGAGTTGACCACGGAGATTAGAAATGACCCAGGAGGGCAAGGCTATATGCCAGCAGGCTGCCCGTCGGTAGCTGCACTGCGTTCATCTGTGACGGAGCCTCTGCGGGTCAGCCTTCCTGTCTCTCTTGGTCACTGCACTCCATGGTTCTGACGTACTTCACTCCAGAAGGAAACGCCCCTGCTGGCATAGGACCAGGCTCGGAACCACTGTGGACACTCCTAGAGTGGCCATGGGGCCAGCACCAGAGCCAGAACTTCATTCCTGGGAGAAGGTTCTGGAAGCAGCAGCACCCTGGGGTGGGAGGCAAATGTGCACGTACATTTCAGCGCTCAATGGCTTGGGCACCTGGCCGGGAAGCTGACAGACACAAAACACACAGCAGAACCAACCGTGCATCTCAGAGGCTGACAGGGGGCCGGTGCTGAGAAGGGAGTGGGGCTCAGGGTGTAGTGCCATGTGCAGGTGGGGTCTGACCAGAAGGGCCACAGGGCGGCACCCAGCTCTGCTTCTGCCTCAGGTCGGCTCCCGAGACTGGCCTTACCACGACGTCTCTGAGCCGCAGAGTGGGTGGATGGCACGGCATGAGGTGCCTGGTTGCTGGCTGTGGGGTGCACTGGGCCCCTCCTCTCTGTGCAGCCCCTTCTGGTCTCCTTCCCTGAGCTTCTCTCTCAGCTCTCCTGTAACATCAGCTACCACCCTCTGGACTTTGTCCCAGACTTCTCTCTGGACTCACAAAGCCAATGCTTACACGCCTGCTGGCCCCCGCTCATCCACAGCTCTGGAAATGACTGAGGCCCAAACCAGCTTCCTCCTGGGCATCCTGTGTGGGCCCAGGCACAGCCACCCTTGGGCCACACAGAAAGATGGGCCTCTCAGCCAGACGAGACCTTGTACCTGGGCTGGGACATAAAGAAAGCAGTGCACGATGGGACTACAGAGCCCAGCCTGGAACCACGGCTCCAATATGTCTACCTCCGGGCAAATTCCTGCAAGCCTGCTTCCTGTTGAGTCAGGAACTGAGACAAAAAGCCTGACCGGAGTAAGTTCTTAGTAATTTATACATACACACACCCAGATACATGCAGATACACACAAACGCCACACTGTGGAACATACACATATGCAGATCCACACCATACACACACACAGGCCCACACCATACAGCCGTGATAAACTCACAACCACCATCAAAGAGTGTTTATGGAATGAAGCTCTAGGAGGCCTCAGTACTTGAGCCTGAAGGACCAAACTGGCTACTCTAAACTTGGCTAAGACACCCTGAAACCTCAAAAATGAATTCCACTTGCAGACCCCACATCCTCCCTTGCCTTGTGAAACCTCAAACATAAATTCCACCTGCAGAGCCCCCCCTCCCGTCAAAAACCACCCCACTTCCTGGAAACTGCAACTCTTGCAGAACGCCACATGCACCAGAGGTCCCTATAAAAGGGGGCAATACTTGCCCCAGGCACGCAGTTCCCGCTGCTCCTAGCACCACCCCTCAGGGCTTTTCTTCAATAAAGCCTGCTCTGATCTGTCCAGGTCGGGGCTGTTCTCTACTCTCCTGACTTTCACCTCAGTTTCTTCACTGCCACGCTTTCCTAACAGAGCCTGTCCAGAATGCTCTGCCCAGCCCAAGTGGGCGTCGATGGATGGATAGCAAATTTGGCTGTGCTGGGCCACTGGGTGCAAGAGAGGGAGACAACAGCCACCACCAGTATGCTTCCCACAGAAAGGTGTGTGAACCCAGACAGAGGCCTCCACCATTCGAGATCTGGCTGGTGAACAGCCCCTTCAGGCAGAGGCCTGCCCCTGGAAAAGCAGAGCAGCTGAGGCCCCTTGGGAGCACCGGGAAGGGTGCTGCAGTCCCCAGGGAGGAAGGCACACCGAGACCCACACGTTCTCAGAAGCACGCAGCTGGCTAACTGCCGTAAGGGGATGCAGACAGCTTCACGCACCACTGTAAACCTTAACTTCTCCAGCCCAACAAGGTTCGCGTGCACTGAGACAAAGCAGCCAGTGTGCCACGGAAAGAGCTCAGCCCGACCGCTCGGTGGTCTTCCCTACGATATGCCAGCACTGCAGGAGCAGGGCAGGAAGAGCTCGAGCACCTCAGCACGTCTGTACCTGCAAGTCCACCAGGTGGGCCGTCGACTTCTCAGGGAGGCAGAGTGCCTGGGCCGTGAGCGCACACAGATCCTCCAGGCCAAGTGTGTCCACCTGGGATGGAGACAGGAGAGAAGCTTTAGGCTGTGGACAGCTCAGGGCACATGATGGACCCCAGTGACCAGAGCAGCCGCAGCATTCAGCCCTTGAGTAACAGGACACGTATGGGGAAGAAACACAAGGAGGGCAGTGCACAGCCCATGGTGTCACAGGGCATGGGCACTTTCTTTGCACTTCCAACAGGCTCACTTTCTACATGCTCTCTAGCTAAGCAGAAAAATCCATAATGTCCATGTGTAACCATGAGGGGTCAGCCAACTCAGATTCTTTGAGAAGCACAAACTGCCAGAATTGGCCATAAAACAAAGACCTCTGGCCTGCAGCCACCACTGTGGGCTGGGCTGTGGTGACGAGGGCAGGACGTCACTGTCCCCAATCCCAGGTGACAAATGTTCTGGATCTCGGTTTGCAAGACAGCAGGATCCCCGCACACAAGCTTCACAAACCCTCTGTGGGATTAAAGGTACAGACAGCAAAGGGCCAGGGAGCATCATGCAGAGGCAGAGAGGGGAGTGGCTGCGGGCACTGCTGGCCTCCCATAAATTCTGGGAGCTAGGGGGGCACTCAGACAGCAAGGGACAGGCAGGGCCGGACACTCGGAGAGCAGGGGACAGGCAGGGCCAGTGGGCACTCGGAGAGCAGGGGACAGGCAGGGCCGGTGGGCACTCGGAGA